TAAGCACACACAGACTGTGAGTAGACGCGAACGTTGCCCGGCTATCGATGCACACAAAATCACGTGACCCAACCGAAGCCTAACTACGGCGAAGAGGAAGCAAGACAGGTGGTCCCTTGAAGACTATTTTACTACCACCAAAGGGCAAATCACAGTCAATGCTATGGAACATAAGTTAGGGAAAATAGCTACCACGACGAGGTATTAGTTTGTAAAAGAACATTGTCAACGGGTGCGCAGTCGTGCCGCGTCTCGGAGTGGCTGAAATCTGCTACGTTGTGGGCAGGAAGTAGACCCCGCTTTCCACAGCCATTACGCCGGAGTTTGTGGCGCGTTTTTGCGGGGATGTTTGACGGGCCCGCAACAGTATTTTATACTTCTCGTGTATCTCGTATGGTTTGAGTATCGGCAGCTTTCCGGATGCCTCAGCATGTAATTACGGACTTTTCTAGAAGACGTAGGTTGGTGCATCCGGGGCGCTCTACGTTGTGATGATTGGTTTATCGTCTTCCGCTTCATTCTCCTTCCGAACAAAACGTGCGGAATGTTCAAAGACCACGTAAAACGTCTCGACTTTAATTTGTACTACTAATGTCCCATTATTCCTGGGCGCGAAAAGCAACTTGTTGTCGGACGACGTTAAAATGTATACATTCAAACGGACCAGTCCCGTTAGGTTTATCCTCAGTCACTCATTCAGCGTATCACCATCAAAAGGTGATATCAATTGAAAAGGTATAAATTCTTCATTAAAATACCGAAGATGGTCAACCAGGCGTCAACACAATTCTAAGCCAACAGTTAAAAACAGCCCTACACTGTCATTCAGTGAGTGTCTTGTCTTCGCTCGCACTCACTTTATTTGGTGAAAATCATGAAACTATTCTGTATCCTCAGCTAATGTATAACCGTTTCTTTAGCTCTCATTTCCACTCCGAATTTAGTGACTGCAAGTGAGTTCGGTGTTGAGTAGATCAGCGGAGACATACTAGTGTCCTCCTCAGTTAATGATCTTTCATTACTTTGATTTGTCACTTGTTGTTTAATTTTTCATAGTCACACAATGCATTCCTCAACGAATGTGAGGTGCTGTTTCATGTTTTCGATTGGTACTTTCTTATCTCCTTCCTCATACCATTCAAGCATCACTGTTCCTTCGGGTGCTACAGATGGTCGTTCTACTTTATTTCTTGGCTGCCTCCGGATCTCGGGGCTTACTGTCACCTCAGTAGAGTTTAATCAGCAATCATCATAGCTTTGCTGGTTCTAGATTCTTAGTGTGCCCATCTAGGTATGCTACCGTTATAACACTAGTTCGCGCTCAGAGCATCCATCTCCACCACTGTGGGCCGTTTGTGAAGTGGAGTACTTTTAAGACCTTCAGATACAATGACACAATTGGAGCGGATTCTCACTGTTTGTCGCTTATTTCTTCCGAATGTCGTTAAATCGATGCGATTTCTTCCGGTATGCCGTCGTGTATCTGTTGCCTTGCTCCACATCCGAGCTGTCTGATGTTCTCCCCATGATCATGCAGTGCCAATCGTCAAACACTGTCTGAGCGGTTGGATGCTGGGACATTGCACATCAGCCCACTTTGCGATCTTCGTCGACTATTTAAAGTGGACTATTGAGAAGGTCAAGAAAGTGAACCCTTCCGAGATAGATGGCCTATTGAGACAAAGTCAGCGAGCATACAGCCAAACAGCTCATTCAGAAGTCGCGCTTCACTGATCCTTACAACTTGAGCATGCTAATTAGTTTGCAAAACAACAACTAGTAACTCATGGACCTGTGCTGATGGAAAGGTGTGGGCGCTTTGATCTTTACTGTTTGCTACTTGTGGCAGTTAGGCTCTGTATTGGATCTCCAATGATAGGGGAATCATTGGAAATGCTTATCCTTAACATTACGAAAGCTCCCATTTATTAGGATGAATCGAAGTGCTGAGAGAATTATCTTCGGTAAATTCGGAAATGGTTTCGGAGATAAAGCGAGATCTTCTAATGGCTCCATCATGTCGCACCTTCTCGAGTGCGTTCACGTAAGCTCTGAAAACGATTTCAGTTATCTATTTCATTATTGGGGGATTCTCGTGCAGATTCCCAAAACACCTGTTGTCCATTACTGAGGTTATCTGCACCTGGCACCTCAAGCCCTAGCTGTGCACACAAAAGCAATTTGTATGCTCCCTACTTTTACCGTGGCCCGCAGCCGGGGTTATATGGTCATTTGATTTGTGCCCCAGTTAACCCTTGATTGATCATGAAAATAATGTACCTAGGCACCTTTCCATTGTACTTAATTTACTGCCTTCAGTGACAGCGTGATCTCCCTATTCGGCCGTTGAATTTAAGATCCTAATCAATATTCAGAAACACATTTAGCATGTAACCCTTATTACGTAAACATATGCGTCTGATGAGTATTACCGGAAAGAATTCTTCACTCCGCACTTTGATTCGTGCTGATAGAAGAATTTCGTAATGCAAGGTTTTATGATGTCGAAGCACCAGAACAGGGTACTGATGTACTGCTCTTGATTGTAGTGACTCGGTCCTGAGGGCATCGGACGGTTTTGACTAGTAATGTGTGATATGTATAAAAACGGGTAGGCTTTGGGAACTTATAGAGCTCATGGATCATTGCGGGCGAAGGATGCGTAGTGTACGCATCAACTACCACCGATACTTTGTGTATGAAGTTGCGCATCAGGGCGGAGAGTCACAACGGTGCCACGAAGGTAGTGCGCAAATGGACCCGATTTTCCAAGTTCGAACTGCTATGTCTAGGACGTGGGTTCTCTACTACAGTGCTTTTCAAACTATGGTACACGTATCACTTGTGGTACTTCCTGCCATGTGTGTTCCTTCATTTTCCACAAATCGATAAGGGGAGTAAACGTACCTCACAAGCGATCATGTATTTAGCATGTGAATAAGGTTATTAAAACTTTTCCCGTTAATAATCGAGTATGTGATTTTTCAATCGCTTTACCTGTTCGTACACTTTGCTGTTTTAAAGCGATTCTTTTTATTAGTGTTATCTAACGGTCTAACACCAACGTCATAATTATTGCAAGTGAATACGACGGAAAGTAACCATTCATTGACAGTTGTACTTCAGTCTATTGGTCCTCGCAGTAATAGTAGTTGTTCAAAAAATTTTGAAAAGCACTGCTCTACCACACAACTCATCTGCAATGCGTTACGTCCTCTACAAACTACTCGATCCAGATAGTCGCTCTATCCCGTTAGAGGTGATGGCGATAGTGGATATGTGATAGCATGAAATCCAAAGGCCTAGTAGCAGTCGGAGTTACCATCGGGTTGCGTGCTTACGGTGCACTGTCAGATTAGCTGCGCGCTTTCAAGACTGTCCTTATGCTCCGTGATGTCTAGCCCATTCATTGGTTTCTTCACAAAACTGCATTCGCAGAGAAACTGACCATAACATTAATGACCATCAGCGAGCTTGCATGTCCAGGACATGCATGTAAACTGGTTGTCGTTTTATCATATCGTGCCTTAACGTACTTATACAAAGCATAGTCAGATGATTCGGTAGCGAGGCATTGAACTCAAAGTAACGCGAAGATTTGATCGCCTTGTAACCCATTTAACTCTTATGGATTGTGCTTCTGGATATCACGAAAGCTACTCCTACCCAATTTATCGATGGCTATGAGTCAGATAAATTCAATTTCCCAGTCCTCCAGGTTGTAGGTCAAAACTTGAATATGAAGATGGTCTGCCTAGTATCCCCAACGCAATTGAGAACCGTGCTAGCTTTTCGGATTAGGTCTGGGTGTTTTTGACTTACAAATGACCGGCATGTTCTTGGCAGGGAACTACCGGTAGTGAAGTGATGCGTCATCGTTGTTGATAATGAGACACTCCAGGTAGTGGTTATGTTCGTCCCAACGTACAGTAAGCTCCCATTCACATCACCGGACAATAAGAGAAGAGCACATCACAAACGTTTTCCGTGCGCAAACTCTGATCATGTAAACGCGCTATCAGAGATCAAATCGGGGACTGTGGATTAGGTGTGACGCGGCCTGTGCACACCATGCAACTCGTTTGCATCAAATCGATGGAAGCTGAGCAAGTGGGTTGCACTCGTCCGAGAAGCCAGCGATCAGACTTGTCTGTTCGGTTACATTTGAAATAGATCGACTAGGTGGAAGGATGAAACGAGTGTAGAGGAATGTGTTTTCGACCAACCTTGTGATCAGTTGACACTTTTCGTTTACATCGGTATATAGGTCATTTGTGGCACCTGCATATTCTACTGCTATCATTCTATATCCCTATCTCTAGATTTACCGCTAGATGAGGAGGATTACGTCGTCGATGATGAGGACGATGATGATGATGACGACGAGGTGGATGATAGAATCAATGAAGGTGAAGATCGTGGATGTCGTCGTATCCACTCTGATCCGACTGAACCAGACGATAATCGAAAGCAGGTGAACGAGACCGTTGATGAAAATCAAACCGATGCGAGATACGAATCAGATCGTCAACTGGTGAGTGCGATACACAATGACCCTTTTATTCACGTAGAACTCAGAACGGCCATCTATTTGAATTGTTTACCAACACTGATTCTTGAAATGAATCATGCTGAGGTGTTCCCCTCAGAGAGACATGATTTCCTACATTCCCATCGATGTTGAGTACACCACATGGGGGCAGAAATGGCGTTCTGTGAATTCGCTAATGGTCTGTGTTTGGAGGAGTATCGAAGTTTCTGTTTCTACCAATAGTTCTGTTTCTGTTTCTACCAATAGTTTTCTCCTGTGTTGCATTTTCGGCTGAGGGAATAATTTCACCGCCTGTTTGTTATAAAATAAACCGGTAAAGTGAAACCCAGTACAATTTTGTTTCCGATCCTCAATCATCTGGCTTTCCTTGTTTCAGACGCCCAAGCCGACTGCGTCCGATGAGGATCAGGCAAATGTTGTAGATAGTGAAGAAGAGCGAGCAATTCAAATGGGTCTGAAGCCACGCTACATCGATTGTCCAGAAGACGCCGAATTCCGAGAAGCTCTAGACAAAATGACAGCGGAAGCGCTTCTGCTAACTGGTCCCAGTGGAACTGGGGCGAGCGTCGTTAGTAGTGCTGCTGAGGCTGTGTCTGGTCCGATTAGACCACCAGTTGGATCCATCCTTCCACCGCCCGACACGCTACAACTAATCGCGGCTAGGACGCGAACCTCCTCAAATAATGCAACTCTTAGTTCCCCTGATGGTCAAACGCCGCTGCGATCTATCCTTTCTGCATTGCAGACGAAATCAGATGAAGAGAACTATTCGCCCGCGAGAGATGGTGCTGTTGCTAGCTCCATGGAGTCAGAGGTATGTGGTTGCATCCTAGTTTTAATGCCCGCACACTTACCAGCAGGACTCCTTTGAGTTTTGGTGAGCTGTGTTCGCAATTTTGTCACACAAATCCTGGACATAAATTTTCCCGAGTCGGTTACCAAAAGATACCTCAATTTCCGGCCAAACTCCAACTGATAACACATTGGGAGCAGCTATTCTGTCGACTAGGGATACCTTCCATGGCACTTTGTGTTTCACGTTATTTCATCAAAGACGTGTTGTAGTATTGTTTCTCATTACTTTGAGTCATATCATCCACTTGCTCCATCGGTAGGAAGCTATTGGGCCGTCCTCTCATTTAATCGCTTCGAAACAGTCAAAGGCGGTTTGCTTTGCTTGACTTGAAAGAGGCTTTAAAGTGGCATGCGCTTGCGTGTATCAATCGAATCACTATACGCCACGGTTGAACAGACACCATGCGTAGCCGCGGAATTGAACAGGCCACATCGTGATTATCTCCCCGGACCATCAGCACACGGAATTTGAGACGCGAAGCCGCTTTGCTCTGGTGGCCAGTAAACTACGAACGTGAAATTCTTTAGTCTCGTGGTGACCTTGCCAATGGATTTGCATGATTTCGATCGTGTGACTTGTTCCTTAGTAGTCTAAGGAACTGCGCTCCAATATGCAACAGCAGCGCCCTGATGAAATAACTGCACTGATCCTTTTCGAAAGGCATGTGTTACAAAGTTTATATCAGTATTTGGACTGCTTTACAACAAGAGCAGACTTACACGAGACGCGATTGTTTTTGCGTCTTATCGCAACCCACTGAGTTACGCTAAGTGGTACTTTGTAAGCGACTTCGGTGTCGCTTATATCAAGTATAGATCGATGGTTAGAGTTTAAACGAACTCAGTTTCAGTATCTTCTTCATCGTACGTTACGGAGACCATTTTTCAAAACAGCCGTGGAAGCGATATTTACGGGTCGCGAGCTTCGTTCGGTTGACAAAGCACAGACATCACAGCGACTGCTGACGATGAGAGAACATCATCCACTGGTCTACCGAACCCGCCTGAAGTTAGACAGCAAACTGTAGGAGACGAGGAGGAGAGCCTATTCACAACCTGTCAAAACGGTCGAAGCGTTGAGATGAACAACTCGGCCAGTGATCGTTCTGTTCTCTGGTCGGTCCCTTCGGATCCACCCTCTCGCACAGAAGTGAGATCAGGCTGCTGAGATTGAATAAAACCACAAGACCAGATGGACTTCCTCAAGCCCTCTTCAGATTCAAGAGACATGTCCCTGTAGACGATTTGTACGATTTACTAATGAAGCTGTGGGAGCAGGAAACTGTTCTAACAGACTGGAGCTACTCCGCTGTGATCCCGATTTCCACGAGGGCTCACGTTCGCGGTCAGTCTGATCTTAATTACCTCTTGCTTGCCACTGTCGTTCGTTCTTCATAGACTGACTGGCACCTGTGATAACCAGATTTGTAAATAGCAGACCGGATTTCGTCGAAATCAAAGCTGCATTGATCATATTTTCACTTTACACCAGTCTTCCGTTAGACTAGTAAACGTAGATCTGTGTGACAGCCGTGACTTTTAACAAGACTCAGCGGACGCACCACTGAACAGCTGTTCGAAGTGACCGGTTAGTTTACTTATCTAGATGGTTGTACCATCTCATCTGGAGACTTACTTCACGTATTTTCAAGACACTAAATATTCAGTCACCCATGGAAAGGATAGGCCGGTGGCCAAAGGGATAAGGCGTTTACCCTGTAACCCAAGGACCACCGATCCGATTCTCGCAGTATCCCTATACTGGTTGTGATCGCGTGGCAGCGGCGTACCTCCGATACCTTTCTTCTGTTTATAAGGAAAGGGGTTAAAACTGCTATACATCCATTGTTACTATATATTTCAGAAACTTGATCACTGCAAATTAATGGTATTAAGAGATTGACCGAGGCACGTGAGATACAATGTTCATAGGTTCACGGAATGACTAATACTAAAATTCATCTAGTGTTTGGCAGCAGACCGTTTTGCCGGGATATATGTTAGCTGGAATCGCGCTCAAACTAGCTAATTTGTTCTCCAAGTGCCTGCTAGCCATTTACCTTGACTTGTATTGTTTATTACTACTGTACCTAATCTGGTGAAACCCAAAGTAGCCAGCCGATGATAAAAGGGCGTTAGAAAACTCACCAGAAGGCCATGTCAGGTTGGTGCTTGTAATCTTCCTGGTTGGGGATCGGCCACATCAGCTATGGCGCAGCCATGAAGTCAGTAGTGTCTGTTTAGGTTCATCCCATATTTGATTCCTAATAATTCCATCTGACTACTTTAATTCGTATTTACCCAGTTCACCTCAAATATATTACAGACCAGATAAGCCAACTACCAAGCTGGAAATGTACCAAACGTCCGCTTCATCCTCGTGGGACTTGTCAGTGTATTGCTTCGGTGTTTCAGGAAATCAAACCCATGACCGCTAGTGGTGTACAATAGCTGACCATCATGGATTGCAACCCAATTGCGATATAACCCGACACGTTCTACACTGTCATGCAGGGGACGGTGGTCGGCCCTCGGGTGTGAGGATTCTCTAACCTGGGGCGGTGATTCCACACAGCGTTTTGAAGACTGTTAGGGCGAATTTTTGACCACTTATGAGTGGTAGGATTTAGTGAGATTAATTTAATTCATCGCAGTTAGGTTACAAGCCAGAAAGGCCAACTAAATAATCCGGAGAAGCACCAGATGGCCGTTTCTCCTCTTGGGACGCATCCCTTCAGTTCCCTGAAGGGGATCGGGGGTAAACTGTTCGCTCCCAGCTATTGAGCAGTGTTTTCCGGATAATGCATCTGTGCAACCTTTCATCACTCGTCTCGCAGTCCATATGAAAACTCCCACACCATCATTAGACTGCTCTACCATGTACCCCTTATATGTGGTACTGGGTGTCATGCTACATCGTATTTAGCGTTTAATGCGTTCGCTTGTTGATCACTCTGCATATTCATTGTTTCGCTATCACTGGTGTGTCGCGTCTGCTCGTCCTCTCAACTCCCATTTGTTCCTTTCCCCTGATAGAATACCGTTATGTTCAATCTCATTACTCGTCGAGGCAACCGACCACATCTGGTCCCGCTCGCGGTACCTGAAACTGTGCAGTTCGCCGCCCGTTACGTGCAGGCTGAGGCCGCCGAGCGTGAAGAGAAGGCTCGTATGAAACAACTCGTGTTGGAAATGCATGAGGCCCAGAAGGAGGAGGAGATGGAATGGGGTTAGTTATTCTCCTCGCGAGTTTTCCTCACCTAGCGACACGGTTCATTTCCCTTTTCGCTGCTTTTCTCGTGATAAGGTCATGAATAGGCCGAACTTTTGACGAACAGTTGAAAATGTTTGGACCGGTTTTCAGTTGTGTTGTGCCCAGATTTGGCAAGGCCGTTACTTGGCAATGTGGCACAGCGTTGAGCAACTCAGAGAGGAAACAACTCAGCAGTTGGAAACTTATCACATCATGAAATTAGATCTGAGAATTTTCATTACTGCTTTTGTCAAATGCTGATCTCTAGATGCTGAAGTATTCCAATTGGAGGAAGCAGCCCTCTTGCGTGTTCAGCCCGAGCCCCTTACTTGGTTAACAAGTACTGAGTTGGTGTTGCCTCCCAAGCATGTTCTCGTACAACTATCTTTTCGGTTAAACCGAAACGCCTCCGAAGGTTCGGACTTGATTGTATACCAGAATAAAATCGAACGGTATTGCTCCGCTTGATAAATATGAACATCGCTTGCTGTTTGGTATCACTTCCAATCTCCCATTCCTGTTTTGCCAACCACCTAACGTCGCTTCTCTGAGCCTTAGACATGTTTACACTGGTGTTTTAGGCCATTTGGGAAGTCAGGATGCTGTCTTGGCACACCAATTTCCGATTAACGTCAACCGAGATCGCTGGGTGAAGTACAACCACCCGAAAGGTGCTCCGGATGCGGATGCTGTCTTCGGAACGTCGAGGTAGGCATGAATTGTATCAATTCAAAACATCATCACCCGCCCAATTTTTACCGTTGATGATTCCACAGGCCCCAAAATGCCTTGGAATACATTTGAGAGCATTTTACTTTCCGTCACTTACGAAAAGCCTTGCTGATCACTGTAGCTAACAGCATTCACATGATCAGTGTGGGACTAGATTGCAATACCCCGTAGTTCTACATTTCGATCGACATTACTAGCTTGTCGGCACATTTTCTAGTCTCGAGTGGCTCGCGTTCGCACGGTGATATACTCGCAATTTTCGGATATGTTCGTCATCCACTTTTATTCACTATGCCGTATAAGAACGAAAATGGGCGAGTATTAAAGATTTGTGCTGACTATAAACGAATCAAAATCTAATTTCGTCTTAAATCTCTTTTTTTATGACAGTCAACGTCGTTGAGGCTAAATTGGATAGTGGGACTCGTGTGTTTTTCAACACCCATTCTACTCAACATGGGATTATCGATGTTTGAGTCGAGTGATCCAAGCTGATGGCAAGGCTTCAGTGATGGTTTTGGATGAATCTCAACATGGATGTCAACGGAGATCCAATTTATTTGGGCCGCTGGGCGATCGGCCAGGAGCTTTCACCTGGATATGCCTAGGATTCGTTCCTGCTCCTGCGGTCGCTCCCTTTTTGTTTGTTATACTCAATTTCTCCTATGTTTTCTGTACTTTGTATGCGAAATTCATGTGAACAGAAAATCAACGACGATCTTAATTATCTTTCAGCGCTATTCGGCGTGCACGTCTAAAAATTGCTGAGATATGGTACCTTAGAACACTTGTGTTATTTCACATAATGCCCGAAAATACATTTCCTTACGTTCTATCTTTCACACTTTGCACTGTGTCCATCTATTATGCGCTTTCCGCGGACTCAACTGGCAACTTGAGATATCCGTTTTTTCACTAATCTCAATGTTCCCACCCCATGCGGTTCCTTATTTAGGCTACCAGCGTTGCACTTGCGCTGCATTTCTCATTGTATCACAACAATCCAGGCATTAGCGGTTCGTATCCGAAACAACTCTTTGCGGTTCGTGAAGTCAATATTTGGCCCCCATGTGTTCCGCTATGCGCGCGACCTATCTAAGTGAGCTCGTTTCCTAAGCTAAGATGGCGACTGCCGGAAAATTCAGGCTCACATAATTCGCGGTTAATTGAGAATCGGTTTTCGAATATAAACGAGTGTATTTGCAATATAGTCTCGCTGAAAGGAGTGATTAACTTACAACGGCAGAGGTCGGATAGTAAGTCTAACATCCTCTGGGAAAAGTTCGTTTGCACGTCCATACATCGCTCGGTAAGTACAAGTGATGGTGGCTTCTGCGCATCCAGCGACTTCACCAATTTCTGAAATGGAGGATTAAACACAAGCCTCATTACGATTATCTTTTTTGTATGCATACATTAGTAGAATATTATGAGTAGTGTGTATACGTACCCCTGTAATCTCGCTAAGAGAGGCAGTGTAAACCATGGAGCACCGGAAAAAGGTTCCTCAACAACGATGAGTCGTCGAGTGTTGTCAAGAGCACTCCAACTGAATCCTGGTGTTGTGTTACATGACGCACCACATTTTGCAGCATACTAGATGAGTTGATGATGTACATCATTCAATTCATGTAAAATGCCCATTTCTGTGAATCCCAAGGAGGAAAATGAGCGGAAAGCTTTCGACAAACAATTGTATTCGATTAGTTCAAAATCAGGTCGTTACAATAATAGACGCTAAGTTGGAAATGGCTGGAGTACTGTACAGCAAGGCAATTGATTAAACGATTCAAAGTGGTTTATCGACATTGGTCAGGTGATTAGGTCACGGATGTCATATGAGTGCTGGGATGTGATCCCCTCCTTTCGTAAGTGGCTGGCCAAGGCAACTGTAGCGATTGAACCATCTTCTTTTGGATGCATAAGTCTGGATTCATTGGTCTTATGCATACCGCCTCCGCGGTAGCAAGCGGACGATTCCCTATTCTGTGATTCGGGTGTGATGGTACTTTGTACACAATGTCAAAAGCGGTTTGTTTACCAATCTGGTGTCCGGTGTCTATCAGATGGTTTGTTATTGAATTGCAGCTGGTTCTGGTTAGTGAGCCAATTCAGGAGATGTTCTTTGATTCTCTTACCTAAGTGTCTGGTCGTTCGTCCAATGTACCTAGACCCACAGGGACAGGTAAACCGATAAATTATCATTGACTGGAGATGATCAGGCACTTGGTTGTTGAATCTCCGAACAAACGAGGGTTGGCTCGTATAAATCACATTTAGATCAGCTGCGTTACAAGTCTTTCTGCAGCTTTGTATCAGCCTGCGTTTACAGATCTCTGCTGCGTTGTCGCCCTTGAAAGGAAGAGTCAAAAACAGTTGTTTCTTTTTGACCGTTTGCGTCTTTGGTTTGGTACTATTATGCTTCATATGAGTGTCAATGAAGCGTTCAGGATATCCATTCTCGAGAAGCACTTGTTTGATCCGCCGCAGTTCGTCCTCGCTACGGATTTTGTATGCGCGGTTCAGTAGGGTGTATTAGCATTCTTTTGTGGCCGAGTGGGATAAAGCTGTGAAAATTCGTGTACTGATCGGTCCAGTATGGTTTTCCGTACACACTTATCTGGATTGATCCATCCTCTTTTCTATTTAGTTTTGTATCAAAGAAATTCATCTGATTGTTACTTTATTCTTGAAATGTAAATGCTGCGTTTGGATGCGCTCTGTGGAAACATTCGCTTATAGTAGGCCATACTCGAGTATTCCCAGAGAGACATCCGCCAACTATGGTACTAGTGGGAATCCCATTACAACATCATCGATCTGTCTACACAGCTCATTGTTAAATTAAAACTGGACAGGTGCATCTGAAGTTGTTTCAAATGACAAGTTGGTGAGCCAAGGTTCATTCCTTGCTGGTCAATGTACTTGCACATAAAACTGGCCATTTCTAACAGTCAAATGGGTCAATAGTGAAACAACATCAAGGAAGAACATCCGATAGTCCCGGATATTCATATTCCGGACTGCTTCGAAAAACTGAAACGTGTCGGTTAGGCAATGCGGGACTATCATCCACCTAATAGGTTCTGGTATTTGTCAGCCATCTTGCAATGGTATGGCGAACTCCTCATGCCTAGTATTGGTCTTAACGGTATGCCCGGTTTGTATATCTTAGGGAGGCCATAAAGACGTGGAATCAGAGAGCCTGTGTTTCATGTGTTCTTTTGTTTTGAAACCGTTACTCACTAGCAACTTTAACGATTTGGTCATTTGCACTTCTGTGTGGTCCGTTTTGTCTTTCTCTTGAGCACATTTCAGGAACCGTGAGGTATCAGGGAGGATCACTTTCATTTTTCTTAAATATTCATTGTGATCCATGATTACGGTTCCTGATCCTTTATCTACGTTCTAAGGAACTCGCTTGAGTATCACTGCTCAGCACTCGCCAACGCACATCGTAGTTGCGGACACGCTGGTGTCATCCGACATCAGCGATGATCAAAGACTTAGAGGCGCCTCAGATCTTCAGACCTAAGGGGCCGAGTCTCACTTACTGTGGCCTTGTAAACACGGTCTTTCAGATTGAGGGAAACCGCTTCCTGTCGCCAAAAATGTCACAGATTAAAAAAGGCAGTTCTAGCTTTTGCAATACGTGACCTAACTTCAGTTGCTGATACAGCTGCCAAGGTAAATGAATCGATCAACCACCTCAAGTTTGTCGCCATCAAGTAGCTGGTGGTCCTGCAACACCACTTTACCCTTTGAAGGTGCGAAGCGCATGCGAAATGATGGGACCAGTCTGGAGAGGTTATTCGGGATTGCTTGGGCCGGCTCAACATCGTTAAACAACAAGACAATATGGTCCGCGTAACCAAGATCAATTAGCCTTTCAGCAGGCAGTACCACAAAGCCTTCATTGTGAAGCTCTGCAAGGGAACACTCCACGATGGAGTCCACGGAGAAGCTGAACAGAAAGAAGGAAATTGGACAACCATGAAGAACGCCAATTGTTGTCGGAAAAATAAACGATGAGTCAGCATGGACCCTGACGCAGCCTATAGTGTTCGAGTATAGAACACGTAAGATGTTCACATATGTCATGGGAACACCTTACCGCGCAGGTATTTCGAACAGAATGCACCGATCGACTGAATCAAACATACTGTTAAAGTCCAGGAAAATAGCTATTATTTGCCTGCGGTACTTGTGGTGCTGCTCTAGCACCTATCGCGGAGTGAATATGTGGTCTACATAGCCTGCTTGCCTGTTCTTTAATCCGGACTTCCCGTTCCGCAGTGAGGCGACAAACGAGAATTGAGGCCAGTAATTTTGTCACCCTCGGCATTAGGCTAATACCCTTGGGGTTAGCACACTCTGTGCGACTACCCTTCCTGTGTATCGCCACTATAATCGATTCACTCCAGTTAACTGGGATAGTCTGTTCCTTCTAAATCTGTTCGAACAGGGATGTCAGTGCTTTACAGGGGACCTCACGACCATCCACATAGTGTAGGTTACAGTGAATCCGGGCCAGCAGCACGAAAACGATTAAAGGCTGCGATCGCGTTTCGGATCTTAGACTCCGACTGAACCTCTAAACTAACCGGCGACGACTCAGTCCGCACCACCTGAAAAGGAAGAAACACAGGAGCAAGGGGCCAACTAAACTGATAACGAAAGTGATCCGCCCAACGAGCGACATAGCACCCCTTATTGTGAATCATGGCGCACGCATGGTCTCCGGTTGTCTCGCTGGTGCTTGGTTTTTTGGGACGATTGGTGCGGATCAGTAAGAACTTGCGATAATTGCCTACTGATCCCGATTCCTCCATTTCTTGAGCCCTACTAGCCCACCAGATGTCCTTATAAGTAAGCAGGCTCCGAAGGTGGACTTGAGTCCCAACCAGGACGAAACCGCGGTCTTGGGGTGCCAGTGTTGGGATGAGCAACACTATAAAAATAAGCAGGCTCCGCTTTAGTTCACGCCTAATAGTCCGCCTAGATACGTTGTGCTCAGAGCCAGTCGGGAGTCTTCTTCTAGATTCCAATAGGTTCACGGAGTTCCCCGACTGGTGCGGTGGCATTTGATAGTACCACAAGCAGATGCTCCTGTGTCGTACATGGCGGCCGAGGTTTCATTCCACTGAAGCTCAGTGCCATCAGGACGAGAGAGCGAAGGTTCGGTACGCAGAATATCCTTGTAGACTTGCCTGATCGATGGCTGAGATAACTTCACAGTTGCCGATCGAGGAAGGCGCTTCGTACACTTCCCGATAAAGTTCATGGAAAAGCGGCAGTGTAACCGAAATGTATGGTCAGACTCGAAGAATGTATTCCAGAACGAGCGACAGTCCAAAATAGAACCACGCCACCTGCAACTTATGGCAGCGTGATCTATTTGGGTCTATCGCTGGCCAGCTACAGGAGGACGCCAAGTGGCACTTCGACGCCCACTAAAAGCGATGCTACTAAGAAAAAGTCGATGCCCTGCACACCGTTGTGACACGCTCGCCGTTGTCCGTCCATACCACCTAGATGAGCTTCTGAGTAGCTCAGGCGACCTACTTGCGCATTCACATCACCACAAGGATTATGGTATCTGAAATGGTAGCACTGCGAAACGGCGTGTTCAGTTCATGGTAGAAGGTGTCCTTTGTAGCATCAGAATTGCAGTCGTTGGAGGCGTAAGCGTAGACCACAACCAAACAGCGTGTAGTACTGCTTCGTGAATCAATCTTACTTGATGTAGTCAAACAGGCTGCACACAGGAATCCAATCAGTTAACGATGTATGTATGTAATCTCAATAGTCTAGTAACTAGACATAGAGCCAACAAAGCCATGGAGATCAGTGGATAGGAGATAGTCATTGCGTCATAATCATCGTGGCATGCTAGTTGAAGGTGGGCAACACACTTCAGCTAATATGCCGCAAGAAGAATGGAACATTTTGACAAAAACTAGAACAAAACATTTTTAGTTTGTTTGTCACATGCCGATTTTGCTCTTTTTTGTCATTTTCAGTATTTGATGTATTAAACATGTGAATAAATACAATACTGTACACAATTCTTCCACTTATTCCGGTTGCGGGCCATGTCTTCAAGAGTGCTAAGCCATTGGCACTCCTCATTTTTGGGTCCCCATCCTGGAAGACGTACGGATCCAGTAGCGGCTAGACACGACGTCAGCGGTTTCATGTGCTGACCACCATGCGCTCGCTTCCAGCCAGGTCCTTGACGAGCGAATAGAGCGCGACGCGGTAGACGCTCAGGTGCCATGCGTAGTACATGACAGAGCCATCTTAACGCGCAACAAAACCAGTTTGTTGAAGGAAATACTTGCATTCCCCAAGATGCG